TTGGCTGAGGCATCCGGCCGGGGCAGCGGGGACCCGCAGCTGCAGCGGCCCCACAATCGTGGGCTTCGCTTTAGGCCCAGGCAAGGGATCCCTAGCTCCTGGGACTGCCAGTTTCGACCATGCCCACCCCCCCTCACTAGCTCCACCCCTACTTCCTGCTATCACTGGCCAGGGCGGAAAAGGCACCTGATTCTCCGATCATGATTGGGGGGCAGGGCAAAGGTGGCCCTGGGGGCTCTTAGCGCCCCCCTGGGTTTCTGATCACTGTCAGTGGCAGGGGGCTTCTTCCTGCTTTCCCTTTCGCCTCCCTGCATTGTGCCTACATATGCAAATTAACCGCCATTTTTGTTGTCAGTTAACTGCCATCTGAGTTGGCAGTTAATTTGCATATAGCCCTGATTAGCCAATGAAAAAGGTAGCGTCGTACGCCAATTACCATTTTTCTCTTTTATTAGTTTAGATGTGCTCTTCTGTGTGAAACAACCTGTCCATAACTCAGCACAAATGCCACTATAGGCAGAAAAGGGCATGGGCAATTATATCAAGTCAACAACAAACATACAACAGAGAACATTCCTTCTTATCCACTGGTTTCCACTGACTCTCAAATGGAATTTGTGTATTGTTTCTATTCATCAACTAGAAAATTTGACTTATATTAACCAGTTATATTTGGCTTTACATTATTCCAGGAAAACATCCTTCCAATAATCGACTTCAACTTATCTGAAGGCTCTGGTGCCAAGAAATTACAAAAGCCTTCACTGGATCCATTTTTATTTTTTATGTATTCTTTTTAAATATATTTTTATTGATTTCAGAGAGGAAGGGAGAGGGAGAGAGAGATAGGAACATCAATGATGAGAGAGAATCATGGATTGGCTGCCTCCTGCATGCCCCACACTGGGGATGGAGCCTGCAACCCGGGCATGAGCCCTGACCGGGAATCGAACTTGTAACCTCTTGGTTCCTGGGTTGACACTCAACTGCTGAGCCATGCCAGCCTGACACTGGATCCATTTTTAGACCCCATATTCTGCAGGAGTGGGGATGGGGGTAGTTTCATGGCCCTACTAGCTGTTGATCTTTTCCTTACCACATAGGATAGTAACTCCTTCAATCAAGATGAACCTCAAAGTTTACAATTAGCTGACTCCCGCAGCCATGAGTAGAGTTGTGACTGTTTCTAGAACTCAGTTTGTGACCTTGATCCCTCCTTGGACTAAGCTACTGGGAAAACAATGTGAGTCATTCTTTATTATTATTATTTTTACAATATACAAAATAAATTTATTACCAAATTGTAGATACAAAATAATTAGCCATTTACATGCAATAAACATTAATATTTCAAGAAAAACGTAAGTCATTCTTGATGTTCATTTCCCTTATCCCAGGTGATGCCTTATTTGGGGGATCTTATGGAGTGCTCAGGCATGTGGGTGGATTAAAAGTATCTACTTGCAGGTCCTTAGATTCTGTCAGTTACTGCTGAGCCCTCTGCCCACATGGATATTTTCAAGTGCTGTGGTCCTCTTTAACATTTCTACCACACTTACGGTATGGAACTCATTGCCAAGGTCACCTGTTGGTCCAACTACCTAGACATTCCCCACAGCCCTTCCTCTCTTGAGTCTTCCTGCCAGCCAAGGGTAACTTTTAGGAGTATATGCCACTTGAGCTCCCACAGAGCTCTCTCTGCCTCTTTTCTCAAAGGGGAGGGAAGTGATAAAGACAAGAATCTCTTTATAGGCTTTGCAAATCTTTCTTCCTTTTAGTTTTCTGGCCCAGATACTTTGTCTCTGCCCCTGCACCCTAATCCCCCTTCCCTAAGGCTTATACTTTTAAATATATTTATTTGTATCGATTTCAGAGAGGAAGGGAGAGGAAGGGGGAGATAGAAACATCAATGATGAGAGAGAATCATACATCTGCTGCCTCCTGCACACCCCACACTGGCCATTGAACCCTCAGTCCT